CGTCCTAGATCTCAAGTGTAGCTGAAAAGAGTATTTATCCTTAGTGGAGTTTGCCTACAACAATAGTTTTCAGGCGAGCATTTTGTGTGATAAATGATTGGGGTGAACTGATTGTTGATGCAGATGGGACCTTCGAGTAGGGACTGGTGCGTATCATGGATAGTTGAGAGTAGTGAGGCTAGTGAATGTGTTATGACAGCACCAAGGTGTGGAGGAGGCGACATGGGAGCATGATGACACTATATGTACCTGTTATTCATTATTGTTCAAGGATCGAAGTACATTCTTATACTCATTTATGTAATATGATGGTTGCATATGCATGTGGTTGAATGTGTATATGTATGTGAATTTTGGAGATGAAATTCTTTTAAGGGGGGAAGAATGTAAAACTCGGATAAATTTAAAATTTTTATGAAAAAATGGCAAAATGATAATTACCGCTACAGTACAGGTTGAAAACTCAAATTTTTTAGAACTCGGATGATGAAACGGACCTCACCGTTGGATTCGTCTCGCAAAATCTAGTTATCCTGTCAATTTTTGTCGAATTTTGAGATAGTCAAATTTTTTATAATTTACAAGAAAACCAAGTGTCGGGTGACCTCAAAAACAAACTTGGGAATAAAATTTCAAAAATTATATAATAATTTAAAACAAGTTAAAATTAAAAATATTTTAATCTTGAAGCGGGACAAAATTTAATCGTTTCGGAATGAAAATGAACCTAGGAATGGGGAATGTGTGGCCCAAACATTTAAAGGGTATAAATAGGAAAGAAAATTTAATTTTCTCCCAATTTCTCTATTGGGTTTAAGGTTACAAGAGGAAGAGAGGGAAGGGAGGAGAAAAAAAGTTGATCTATGCGACGAGGGCTACGTCTGCATACCAAAAAAGACGAATTTCATCGAAGTTTCAAATGAAAAAATTTTGAAAAAATCAAAGTTTGAGCTTGGGGTGTGTTCTTGAAGGTTTCTACAACTTGATTGTATGCTTTAAGAGGTAGAATTTTCATCCTAACTAGGTTTATTTTCAATCTAGGGTGATTATATGGAATGGGTAGGTGGTTAAAAGTATTTAACACTTGTCTATGGTTGTAAATTGATGAAATGGGTATTGAAAATGGGTAAAATAAATTCTATCTTAAATTAGGTATGTAAAAATTACCTAATATGATTCTTGAGTTATATGATGAAATTAGGCATTTTGTGTGATTGCATGTTTTGGTGCCTTTAAGGTGTTTGATTAAATTTCTATGTGAAATTAAGTGTGTTATTGCACAGATTATGTATAACATGCTTGAAAAAAATGTTGTTGAACGTAAATGTTGATATATGCTTATAATTGACAATGGAATGTGTTGAAATGTGGTTGAAATAGTTCATATGGTAATCATTACATATTGGACATGATATCGATATTGCAATCGTACATTACATTGCATTATGTACGGAGACATCGCATTCATGGGCATTTAGGCATGAGTGTGGGTGTGTGTGCATGTTGTTGAATCAAACACCATCCTTGATGGTTGATTAGTGGGCTCGGCACAGTCGAACCAAGTTTCGATATAGTCGCATGGTTGCATGAAAAACTTGTGTCAGGTATAATAAGGGCTCGATACTCCCTCAGGTGCAAGATTCGGTTACTGGTTTATACACTTCTGACAATGCAAGTCCAAAAAAGTATAACACTGTACTGAATCGGTGGTGAGATTTCAAAATTCGAATACCCAATAAAGACACATGGTTTATTTTTAAAGAAAGGTCGTTGGATGTGCAACATCAATGGCAAGGGCTTAGAATACCCAATTTTATACTCATAGCATTGTATGGGTGAAGGGGGCCAGTGAAGGCTCGAGTTGAGTTGCATGAGTGAGTCTTATCTCATTTCATGGCATGACATGAAAATTCCTATTATTTAATTGCATATCCTTGATTGGAAGGTTTGTTGCTTGTGAAATTGTGCATGTGAATATTTCATATGCACTTAGATTGGGAAGTAGCCACTTTAGGAGATACCCTATTGAGCGTGGCTCACCCTTTATAGGACAACATTTTAGGTACGAGATATATATCAGTAAACGGCTCTTATTCGGGCCCTCAATGATGAAGAAAATCCAATATGTGGCTTTATTTTGAGTTTTTGTAAAATCATTATGAAAACTTAGATTTTAAGCATATAAATCTATAGAAATGATTGTAATAGAACTTGTATGAACCATGTTTTATGTGAACAACTTCATTATACATGTGTTGAATGAATATAGAATGGATTGGAATGAATTGAAAATCAAAAACAGATATAAATATATTGGTTTTCTTCTTGTTGGCGTTTAAACGTCATTTCACTCTCGAACGTAGGAAACTTACAGTACTTAAGGCTCTGCAGAGAACTAAAGCACTGGGAACAACCTTAGATCAAACGCCACTTTCATGTTCGAACACCACTTTCACGTGCGAACGTAAGGAGCTTACAGTACTTTTCCATCTCTCCAGAAAACCAAAGTACTGGGAGCAACCTTCGTTCGAATGTCAGTCCACGTTTGAACGGACTTTAAAAATCTCAAATTTTGGGAATGCTTTGTCATGTTTTTGGGCTTTGGGTTCTTTTGTTCAAATGATGTAAAGGAACATTAAATGAGGATAAATTGTAATATATTGAACCTCAAATGGGTCATGTGACTGTAGTGTACAGAGGCTATGCATTTGGGAGTTCTTGGTAAAAGGAAGACTCTGTCCAAATTTTTGTGTTTTGTGATTCTGGTTAAGGGGATGCTATTGACGTGATGTTGGGTTGTGCGATAATCACGGGTACTTCTACTGGTTGATGGGTGATCAAAGGTTGATAAATGACCCCTGATTTTAGGAGCGTCACACTTAATTATACCCTAAACAATTCTTCCAAATTAATGTTTTGATCTCCCTGCAAAATTGATATACCAAAACAATTTCTAACCGATTCAATTGAAGAAGAATCTAGATGTAATCAACCCATGATCGACGGCAAACATTGCAACAACTTCATTGTTGCCAAAGTTTGAACCGTGTAAAAAAAGGGAGATTGTAAGAGGGCAAACAACTGTCAGTTGCGCTGTGAGTTTGAAAGAGAATATGGGTGAAGTTTATTTTTGTTAAAGTATCTCCAATAATACTTTTTATTTTAAAGAATATTTTTTTTTTTTGAAATAGAAAGCATGTTTGATAACAATTTGAAATAGAGTGAAAATTTTTAAACAATTCCAATTGGCTCTTTATTCTAATAACAAAAGAGTAATGCTATTAAGATCTAAAAAATTAACCTAATTTACTGACCTTAATGATTATCAAATGATAGAGTCCTAATAAAGAATTTCAATAGTTACGGACACAATAATTCTATTGAATCATGTCAACATCACATTATTAGGTCAACAAATTAAGTTAAATTTTTAGATTTTAATAGTATTATTCATAACAAAATAGCCTTATAGTAAATAGCATTTAATGAAGAATATATATGCATTATCTTTTTATTCATTAAAAATAAAATTGAGATTATGTTGTGCTCTCTAAATTGGGTGAGTTTACATTAAGCTCTTTATTTCGGCTAGTCTAAATAGATTGTCAATTGGAGCTTAAGTTTTTATGACTTGATTCTCTTAAATAATGACTTGAGTAATATTGGAGAATCTTTTTGGAAATGCTCGTAGTATTAAAAGTTGTTTAGATTGGATCCAACAGTCCACAGGAGTTGGTACGAATGATTTGAATTGACCCAACTGAAAAGATTTTATTTTTTAAAATTAGACATCAAAAATTAAATATACTCCCCTAAGAACATCTCTAATTATGATTCAAATTTAAATTAATATTTGAGTAAAAAATTTGATTTGATATAAAAGAGTCCAAAAGACAAATTCAAATTTAAAGAAGGAGACACCCAAATTTAAAGAAAAATAAACTCAAATTTAAAAGAAGGCAAACTCAAATTTCAAAAAGAGTAAAGATAATCATTAGATCTTTAAAAGATGGTGAAATCTCATCACTAAAAATTTGGGTAACGATTTGAGTCTTCCTTAATTAAAGTAAAAAAATAAGTCTCTCTTAATTTGATATAAATTGAGTCAAAATTTATAGCAAGTTTTTAAATTTTATTACTCAAATTTAAATTTCAATCTAAATTTAAATCAATGTTGAAAATGCCTAATATTGCAAGAACCGTATTGAGATTTCCTATTTGATAAAGAGCTTAGTTTAGTAGATTCTTGCATTTAATTTTGGATTAATCACAAATTGTACCCTAAAAGATCTCTTAAATTTTAATTTACACCCTTAAAGATAAAAAATTTTAATTTGTACCCTCAAATATATATAAATCTGTATCAACATCGTCCAATTTGCCATCTAAAATTAAATATGAAATAAAGAGTAATATGAAAGTTATATTTGTTTATTAGGATGACATCATATTTTTTAACAGTTACATTAACTTATATTGACGACAAGGGGTTTTTTATGTTATATGTGCACCAACGTCATAGGGTGTAGGTGTAATATTCTAAATATGAGGGGTCTAGTGATAAAGTGACAACTCTGAGGCGGTCTAAGTGTAATTTACCCATTTAATTTTAGACATCAAATTGATGGCTATTAATTTCAAGTGCATATTAATATAAATTTATATTTTTGAGGGTATAAATTGAGATTTTTTTTATATTTGAGAGTTTAAATTAAGATTCAAAAACAGTAATAATAATCTGATCAAAATTAGGGACCAAATAAATAATTCAAATAACATGACAATCTAATCAACTATCATGTCATTTAATAAAGTTGTTAAATGACATGACATCTGACTTAAAAGGCTAATTAAGCATATTATTGTCTAATCAGCATTCTAAGTCAGCTGTCATATCATTTAATAAAAAATTCAAATAACATGACAGCTGATTTGAAATATTAATTATGTTTATTAAAGCCTAATTAATCTTTCAAGTCAATTGTCATATCATTTGCACTCTCTATTTGCTCCCTAATTTTAGTGAGGATGACATTACTAATTGAAAAAATGTTTTGAGGTACACTTTGTAATTTTATTTTATTTTGAACATAAGATAACTGCAACCGCTCATACTTAAAAGTGTGAGGTACCCCTTCGTATTAACCCTTTAATTTTGGTCATCCTTAGCTGGTTGCCATTTTGGACATTCTTGACGTACATTGGCACGGGCCATCCAAACACTGAGATCTCCGTGACCGAGTGTTCACACTTCACTGAATTGACAACATGGCGGTGGTTTATTTCAGTGGTGGTGGTTGGAGAGAGATAGGGAGCTTTAGCCTCCACGTCCTCACCGGCCGATGGTTCATGTTCTTTGCTTCGTTGCTGATCATGTCCGCCTCCGGTGCAACATTCATGTTCGGCCTCTACTCCGGCGACATCAAATCATCACTTGGTTACGACCAGACAACCCTCAACCTCCTAAGCTTCTTCAAAGACTTAGGTGGCAACGTCGGAATCATCTCGGGACTCATCAACGAGGTCTCACCGCCGTGGGTGGTTCTCTCCATGGGCGTCACCATGAACTTCTTCGGCTACTTCATGATATGGCTTGCCGTCACCGGAAAAATTTCCAAACCCCATGTTTGGCAGATGTGTTTATATATATGTCTTGGTTCAAGTTCTCAATCATTTGCCAATACTGGGGCTTTAATCACCGGCGTTAAGAACTTTCCGGAGAGCAGAGGCATTGTTTTAGGCCTCTTGAAGGGTTTTGTTGGCCTGAGTGGTGCTATAATCACACAGCTATACCATGCTTTTTATGGACACAATTCCAAGTCTCTGATCTTACTGATCGGTTGGCTTCCGGCGGCGATTTCGTTCATTTTTCTGAGAACAATTCGTATCATGAAGGTTGTTCGACAAGTTAATGAGGTCAAGGTCTTCTATAATCTTCTCTATATCTCTCTTGGTCTTGCTGGTTTTCTTATGGTCATCATTATCTTACAAAATAGGCTCACCTTCAATCGGATTGAGTATGCCGGAAGTGCCTCTGTTGTACTTATTCTCCTCTTTGCTCCGGTGGGCGTTGTTATCAGAGAAGAGTTCAACCTGTGGAAAACCAAGAAACATGTGGTAGATGATTCTTCTCCATTGAAAATAATCAATGAAAACCCATCTGCAATTGAATTAGCACCACCAGGAACGCCGCCGCCGCCGCCAGTCGGAGATCCAACAAGTCCAGAAAAGCCTGTTTCATGCATGACCAACTCGTTCAATCCGCCGGAAAGAGGCGAGGACTACACCATTTTGCAAGCACTTTTTAGCATCGACATGTTGACTCTCTTCGCCGCAACAACTTTTGGTGTTGGCGGAACATTGACGGCCATTGATAATTTGGGTCAGATTGCCAAGTCTTTAGGGTACCCAAATGCTAACACAAGCACATTTATATCCCTAGTGAGCATATGGAATTATCTTGGCCGAGTCGTATCAGGCTTCGCTTCCGAAATCTTCTTGGCAAAGTATAAATTCCCACGTCCCCTGATGCTAACATTTGTGCTTCTTTTCTCATGTGTTGGGCATCTTCTCATAGCCTTTGGCATACCCAATTCTCTCTATGTTTCTTCTATTATTCTGGGGTTCTGCTTTGGAGCTCAATGGCCATTAATTCTCGCAATGCTATCGGAGTTATTTGGGCTTAAACACTACTCCACATTATGTAATTTTGGTGCCGGAGCAAGCCCTGTTGGGGTTTATATTCTCAATGTTAGAGTGGCTGGTCATCTGTATGACAAAGAGGCTTTGAAGCAAATGGCGGCGAAAGGGCTTCCCCGGAAAGCCGGAGAGGACTTGACGTGCACCGGAGTGGAGTGTTACAAAGTGGCTTTTCTGGTTATCATGGCAGCCACACTGGCCGGGTGTATGTTTTCGTTTATTTTGGTGATTAGGACTAGAAAATTTTACAAAGGAGATATATACAAGAAGTTTAGAGAGCAGACCAACGAGGCCGCCACCACAAGCACCGAGCAACAGTAGATGAAATGGGTGCAGTGCAAACATTGGAATCTAATCATGACAAGAAAGGTCTTTCACTCATTCAGCCAACCAGAATACTTTTCTTCTTCTGGTTATTGAGTCCAGGAAAGGTCATTTACCACTACTTTTACTCCTCCATCTGATTCAGCCTTTGTCATATAGTTGTTGGATTTCCTTCTTGTTTTGGGGCACACCTCCTCTGCAAAAAAGCAGAGGTAATGTTCGACAGCACGCCATTTTATTTGTAAAATGATATGGTTTGTCTCGAAATAACATCTCCTATCATACACTAGAGTCGAACCCCTTTTGAGCATGCTCAACAATTTCTTACTGTAATTATAAATTTGTTTTTCAATTATCGTAATTATTATAAAACCATGATTTAAACTCAAGTTTTTAATGTAAAAAATTATTTGCAAAATATCAATAAGAATTTTTTTTTTTTTTTTGAACTGCGCTCTTAGGAAAATTTTGGTAGATTAAAAAGAATAAATTTAATTGAAAATTACACCGGTTGAGAAATTGTTTCCCAAGGGCCTCTTTGCTTCCGGGGTATGGGTGATATTAAAGAAATAGTACGTGGGACTTACTTTATACCTTATTTGTTTGACATTTTTTGCTCAGTATTATTTTTTGGATCGTAGTACCAACCCAGTGTAAACAGTAATTTTAATGTCTTCTATGTGGTACTAAGCAATACCACCTACCAAGTGGTAATGTCTTTCCAATGCAAGTGAAAGGACGGTATAAGCAAGTAAAATGACACAAATGCCCTTATATGTGAAGAGTTCACATATAAAAAAAAATTTGAATTTTTTTTGTATTATATTTAAGCATACGGTGTCACCAATTTTTTTAAAAAAATTATTTTAAATTTTTTCCTGGTATTATATTTAAGTGTGTACGGTGTTGCCGATTTTTTTTTAAATTTGTTTTTTAAAAAATTATTTTGAAATTTTTCTTTGTATTCTGTTTAAGCGTACGGTATTACCATTTTTTTTAAAAATTATTTTAAATTTTTTTCTTGTATTATGTTTAAGCGTACAGTGTTACTGATTTTTTTAAAAAAAAATTATTTTAAATTTTTTCCTTATATTATGTTTAAGCGTACGGTGTAACCGATTTTTTGTTTTAATTTTTTTTTAAATTATTTTAAATTTTTTATTTGTATTGATGGTTAAGAGTAAAATGGAATGAAAGATGTTAAGCGTAAAATAATATATTTGATAGAATAGATGGTTGTTTGGGCGACCCACTATAGTATCTATTGAACAAATAAATGAGATGAATGATGGAATACAAGTTTAAGACCGAGTATAATATACCATTAAATAAAAGTGAAATAAAAATGATTTCTAATTCCACCTACATCTAATACTGTAAACAAACATGCCCCAAGAGTACGGACTTCTCAAGATAATGCTTAACTGATAAAATCTGGAAACCTCTCGTACCTCACTCACAACCTAAACTCTCATTAGTAAATAAGGTCAAGTTGCGACTCTTCGAGAATCTAATCATATAATACAGTATGTGAACCATGAAATTTTCACATGAAAATCATAAGCTACAGGACTGAACAACTGCCGTATATTGCTTCTGCGCAAAAAATATATTAGAATAACTCAAAAACTGTAGATTACGCCTTCCTTTAAAGCTAAAAACAAATTATTTGTGTGATTAAATAGACCAGTCGATGGACAGAAGCCAGCAGGACTTGTTTGGAAACTGCAAATATAGAAAACCACTTGCAATCCAATAACAAAGCCAAACCTAAAATGACCCAAACCCAGTTTCTCCCAGTCTCTCTTATGGCATCCATGTGTTGAAGCTCAATAAAATATCAAAATAAAGATTAGTATCACCAAAACAAAAGCAAAACGATAGACTGGTAGTTCAGATTCTTTGCGCAGGAAAGTCCACAAGCAAATGGCTTTCCAGAAAAACCGGACACACCATAGCGGGACCAAATGTCTGTTCATCAGACCTTGTTCAACACTTGGGCCCACAATGACCATGATTAAACTTATGCACATGATTTTGCTAAACGGGTAATGATTACTAAAATTTTTACCGAATTGTGTCTTTACCAAATGAGTTGGTAATTCTATATCCAATGAAAAACATTTTGATCAAGTGATTTGGAGTTGCCAACTCATTCAATAAAAGCTCTTTTTGGTAAAAATTTTGGTATGCACAGGATTTTCTTAAACTTATACATCCACAAACCACAACAGAGTTATGTGCTCTAATTTCAACTATAAGGGATTAAATGCACCAAGACATGTGTTTAATGAAATTGTTGCCCTTCGTTTTCTACAAGAAATTTTCAAATATCGTTTGGCAACTTCAATTTGAGGAGAGTAATGTTTTATAAACTTAAAAATTAGATTTGATAATGTAGCTGCTGATTTGTACCAGTCATGTCATCAATTACTTTCCCAACAAAGAAAAAAAAAACACATTTTAAAGAAGTGAATCATATTTCATTCTCTCCATCGACAGACCCAAACTCTTCCCTCTTCCATCTTCCCTCCTTGTCGCCTTCTCCCTTCCCATTCGCTATTGGCTTTCTCCATCAACATACCCAAGAACCGGACTTCACAACTCCAACAATCGACATCGACCAAGGACTCAGACCTTGCCTTTAAAAAACCCAATTGTTCATATTTTTTTTCTACTTTCGCCGAGGTCACACTTCTCCCCTCTTCACCTCTTTGCTGGAGTAGACAATCGTTTTGAAGCCTTTTGGGTTTGTCGAAATTGATGCTAGCAACAACACAATAGAAGACCATTTCTTCGATCAAGATTTTTCTAATTGTCTCCATCTCTTTTTTTTTCTCTGTTGCTTTAGTGTTACAGCATATCCTATTTCTCAAGCCCAAATTTTTTACTAATGATTAATCAATTATTTTTATTGTGTTAGAATGTCTTAGATGTGAGTTCATTGAAGTGAAAGCGAATCTACACTTGAGTAAGGAGGCGAAATCTAGATTGGATTGCATTCATAAGCTGTTCAACGAATTACGTAGCAAAAGTTGCTTGGTTTTGGACATTTATGCTTCGTCAACGGGACACTGTGGCAAAGCTGATTTGTTATGCACAATTCAATTGCAATCTTAGAAGAAATGACTTGTGAATTATATACGTTTTGTGTACTCATTCAACTTTGTAAACTCATTCAATTTGGGAGACAATTACACAACTTTTGACTTTGTGAACTTATTTCAGATTGTATTTTGTCCCTAAGCTTATTCAGTTTGGTAGTGGAATAGTAATCAAAAAAATTACTATGTATTCCAATAGTCCATTATTCAGATTGTATTCTAACAATCTTGGGAGAGAATTTCTTCCATGTACTCCTCTCTTTTTGCTTTTGAACTTGCGAGTGAGGGGCCATGAAACTAAACGTTTTTTTGTATGGTTGACTAAAGTAGCTTTTGAATGTTAAGCTAATTGTAGAGACTTGGTATAAATAGTAGCATGGCAGATAAGAGATCAAGGGAAAGGAACATAATTTGGAACATAATCCATTATCAATAATCAACCCACAACATATCTGAAACAAATCACTTGTCCCCATAAATTATAGAAAAATTGCTTAGTTCTCCTTCAATTATAGGAAACCATTCCCAAAGATCACATGTCTGAAACAAAAAAAAATTCCAACAAATAATTCATCGAACAGTTGTTTAAAATAAAATTACAGCTGCAAAATCCAACCTTTAAGTTTTATTACAAAATCATGAGTATCCAAAAAATAATAGAACAACACAATTTTGGGTAACACAAGAACACAAAATACTACAATCTTCGTCTTACACATCTTGACTAAGGGTTCCTCCTTTACATACCTTTCATATGAAAAAAAATAAAAACTCAACTCTTGAATAAATGAGAAAAACTTTTTATCGAATTCTTTCCAACTTACCAAATCTACTTGTCATTTGACGGTGATGTTGAAGGCGGAATTGGCAATTTGGATTGTCTACTAATTCTTTTGCTTTAGAATTCACCATTCCAAGAATGATATTAGTTATTCTAAGCCAAAAAAACAAGAATTTTCATGAATTGACATTATAGTATAAACAACAAAAAAGATATAGAATTTCTAAAACTAATGTCAGATTGCTAACCATGAAATAGTTTTACATCTCATATGATTGGTTTTCATGACCTCTTTGAGTGACTCCCCATAATAAGGCTAAGTTGTTCTGTCATAACAAAACTACAACAGATTACTACAAAATTACAATAGATTAATTACAAATAAACTTTCACAATTTACATTACAAAGGGCAAATTGGAGTATTGACCATCACTTACGACAACATTATCACTTTGGATAGTTTGCGAATCCCACATTGCAATTAATTCCAAGTATGAAATTAACCGATGCATTAACAAAAATATATTACAATTCCAAAAATGATGGTTATATCATGCCATCACAACAATGCTCTCTTGTGTTCCAAGTATGTCAACCACTTTACTAATGCGTTGACCATCAATATGATCAATGGCATCACTTTCAGTTGGAAGGGAATCCTATAAAATATAAATTAAATAATAAATAATAAATGTGAATAAGAATGTGAATAATTTTAATTTAGTGGTATAATTTCCGTGAGATACGGTCTTTTTTTTCATTTCCTTCTTTTTCCTAGCAACTTGCTCCACTTTTGACTGCTTACTTTTGAATGGTGGACAACCTTTGCTTTGAACAACCAATGGAGTATGTATATTCCTCTCCTTTGATATATCATTTACATCACCACCAGAGCTTCTATTGACAGTGGAGTTGGGACTTGGTTCATAACTTCTAGAACCACCTTCGTATTTCTGTAGTTTCTCTTTTAGATCATGTATACAATTCATCAAAAATGTGCACTTATTTTTAGAATCTACTACCAAGTCTACAACATCATTAAAAGCATTGCACATTTTATCTAATCATTGTGCTTTAGGTGTGGCACTCCAACAATCATAACTAATTTTAATCTTTGTGTGACATCTTTTCACATCCTTCCTCCATCTTCGTACGATGTATTTATCAAGAATTAAGTAAATCTTTCTATGGATTAACACTGTCATGACATGTCTGCACAATATTCCTCTAAACTCAAACAAGCACTAATTACACTTCACTTCACAATCTTGTTCAATAAACAAAACCTTAAAATGTGCACTCTTTCTTTTCTCTTCAGTCATGGTATCCTTTAATACGTCATATTCAGAAATCAAGTCATCCACTTTGACTAAAGTCAAATCACAGTACATCTTCCCTGTCAATTCGTTTTGGAACTCCTTAAATTTTGAGATGGTGTAAACCTTTTGAACTTGTTTCTCCATGTCATAATGGGTTACACAAGGGAGTTGCGAAGAGAAAGACTTAGATTCTTCCTCGTTCTCCTTCTCCACATTACTTTTCAAAGCATTTTCATTCTTGAATTGCTTTAAGGTAGTCTTAGAGTTGACATACCCTTCAAAGAATGAATTCATACTCTCACTTCGTTGTGTGGTAGATATTTCCACCTAAAAAGTATCTTTCATAAAGATCGACACCCAACAATGCCTCTCACTGTACAGTCTACTCAACCAATCATTGTTATGTAGCATGTACTTCTCAATCATTCCATTCCAACGTTTCTCAAATTCAATACAACTTAATGAATCATAAATGGCTCTTTGCAAAAAAAATTTGATGGATTCATACTATTTATAACCTCTCAACTTTTTCAGGTAATTTCTTCGTAATGTGCCATAGTTTCCACCAGTGCTTAGCATTAGGGAAAACATTCTCAACTGCTTTCTTCATGGCCTTGTCCTGGTCAGTTATTATGGCACGTGGAGTTTTTCCAAACATACATGCAAGCCATGATTGAAATAACCAACTAAAAGTTTATGTATCTTCATTGGAGATCAAATCACATCCAAGCAAAGTTGACTGTCCATTATAATTAACACCTACGAATGGAGCAAAGGGCATGTCATATTTATTTGTCCAATATGTTGTATCAAATGTAATAACATCACCACATTCTCTATATACAACCCTACTCCTTGCATCATCCTAAAACACATTTCTTAACCAACCCTCTTCATCCAAATCCATTGTATAAAAGAAATTTACATTTTCACCTTACATCTTTAAGAAGTAATTCTGTATCCCAGAAGCTTCTCCTTTCCCAAGCTGTAAACACCTTATTTTCTCAATGTAGTTTCTACAATCCTTTTCTAAAAAAGAGATATTATCATGCCCCTCTACTTCAACCATAAATGAATTAAATTTTTTATTTATTCTAATCTTTGTCCTTTTGTTCAATTCAAACTTCTTTTTCACATTTGGTCCCATCACTCGATTGCAACAAAAGAATTGAGCTTTGCTCAGACTCACCTCATGATTATGATTAAGCATAACAGTGTTCAGTCGACACTCTCCATCAACACACAAAATTGCTAGGACCTTAGCCTTGCAACCTGTTCTAATGCTTGGACGCAGTTTGAAATGATTTTTGGAATTGCACTTTGACTTTCCTGATCGAGAACAACAAATCGTCAAATATTTCAACTCACCATTATCTCATTTTGCTGATGATCTTATCTTAACTAGGAACCCCAATCGCCTGTCATAATCTATATAGTAGTCAAACAACTTTTTGTCACTTTCAAACATCATCCCAACCTTAGGCTCATCTACATCGATCACATTATGTATTTTAGTCTCAACATTTTCATCAATCATTTCTAAACTACTTGAAGATTCTCCTTCGATTCTAATAAAAAGTAACCCACCAAGTGCCTCATTGATTAATCAAAGATTTCTCAAGCACAATATATGCCTGAACATCACAAGAAAATTAATATATTTATGCTCCAAAATCACCAACAAAAATAAATGAATAGAAAATTAGAAAGTAAAAGGATGCAACAAACTTATAAGAAATCAGTTCTTCAATGAATTCACATCTAAGACATCCTAAACCAATAAACATAATTAATTAATCATTAATAAAAAATTTGGGCTTGAGAAATTCATAACAATAAAGCAATATGATGTAACATTAAAGCAACAAAGGGAAAAAAAATGAGGACACTTTCAAAAATGTTGATCGAAGCAATTGTTTACTCCAAAGGCTTCAAATGATTGTCTACTCCAGCGAAGAGGTGAAGAGGGGAAGAGAAGCATGACCTCGGCGAAATAGGAAGAATGTGAGCAGCTGGATTTTTCAAAGGCGAGGTCTGGGTCCTTGGCCGACATTGATAGCAGCATCGATTATCAGAGTTGTGAAGCCTGGTTCTTGGGTATGTTGATAAAGAAAGCCTATAGTTGTTGATTGTGGTCGGCGTTGTTCGGTTTAGCAAAGGCTAAGGGAGAAGGCGAGAAGGAAGAGGGAAGAGGAAAGGGTTTGGGACCTTTGGGTCTGTTAATGGAGAGAATGAAATCTAATTCTTTTCTTTAAAATTTGATTTTTTTTTTCTTTTTTGGGAAAGAAACTGAAGACATGGCTGATAAACATCATCAATTAGATCATTAAATCTAATTTTTAAGTCTAATATTTAAACATAAGTCAAGTTATGGTCCCAAGAGAAGAGATGCACATTGCACAATATTTGACTTTAACTTCTTTGTTCCAACTTTCTAACTTCTAAGACTCATGCGCAAGCCCAAAAACACTACACATATCAGATACAAACCGAATAGTTCCTGAATCAAACCAAATTGTATGATTCTCCGCATGAGGACAATTCAATCTACCAAAGAATAAGTTATCTTGTAAAGGCAAAATCCTATGAATATAACTTATATTCCAACTTCCAAGATTAT